TAATAAAGTAGTATCTACAGAGGTAGAATGCGGTCCAAGTATGTAGAACGTCCCTGAATCCATTCAGCTCTGATGGGTACCTAAATCAAGTTTGGGAAAGTAAAGGCGGCTGGGCATAGTGCTGATCACACTATCTCTTCAAATGTCGAGGCCATAGAAACAGGTGAACTCTACTTCGCTTACCCCATGGACCTTCAGGTGCGAAAAAGGAACTTCGCTAAAATTAACACAATTTTCTTTAGCAGAGATTGTTTATAAACTGAGCCTTCATTTCACATTTGCCAACTTCAGAGTTGTAGTGTAACAGCTAAGGTGGTCTGTTGTTAAATGCCTTCATGGCCTGCAATACAAGCACTACGCAGGATATACGTTGTGAATTAAACATCTGTTCTTAATTAAAGACAGATTTCTGTTTTTGAAACCTCACCAATAATGAACTAATTGTTTTGGCACAAATAATTATATATATCTTTATCTACCTAAAAATTATTATCCTGCCTCGCAGATTTCTAATTTGATTTACTTTTTAAAAAAATATCTTCTCCTTTGAATTGGTTTATTTAACATTTATCTGGCCAGTGTTTCGCGTTAAACGCTATCAGCTCCTCACTACCAGGCTGCCAGCGAGGACGTCGAGTGTAATCATAATAACGGCCTAGTTAGCCCACCGCGCGGGGCATCTCTGACTTTAACGACCCGCGATGAATGAGCAGGCAGTGAACATCCCGTGGGCAGCAGCTTGGTGCATTTTGTGGCCAGATTTCCCTGAGTTTACGTTTCGTTTTAATTAGATCCGCGATAACGAAACCTGTGAATACAATTTGGCAGGTGTGAATGAGATTACAATTGTCATGTATGTTTATCGTTTTAATACCTGGTGAAGTGTGTAATGTTGACCGATAAACTGCCTCTGTTTACCTTTAACTTTTGACGCCCACCTTTCGGCCACATTGCTAAGAGAGGGTTAATTGCTAAAATATTTGGCTCTAGATTATTTTTTTCATCTTAGGTTAAATATTAAACAGGCTTAGCTTTACTAGGCAAATATCTCTTTTGGGGACATAAATAACACGAGCAACGCCATTGAGACTGGCAGGCAACAACGATATGACATTGCAAGCCGCTAGACCCGTGGGTTCCGTCAGGTTTTTGTCTCCGTCCTTATTGGATGCAACATGTCAGACTGGAGCGATCATGCTAGAAACTTTACAAAGCTTGTCATATTTCTCCTCAGCTTTGAAAGAAATTTAAAAAAAAAAATTATATCTATTATCCAATTAACATTTTTAAACAATTTTACATTTTTCTTGCTGAAGATTTAAACAATCACATCCGGAGACTTGATTCGCGTTTGTCGTGGCAGAGAATTCCAATATAATTCTGTCAGCGAACTCTGTTTCAACTTCCGTTTTTTTTTTCAAGCTTGACTGTCACGCAGTGTTTTAGTAGTCCTGGTGCTGATTCTAATAGCGATCCCTGTTTCAATGAATACCACCAGAGAAAAGTCTTGCAATGCGGGTGGTACTCCCATAATGGGAGGCGCTTGTCGAGGTTTGCTGGTTTCACACCAAGCCACTCTCCGTATTTTAGTCACTGCCGACTGGTAACCTCGGTAGGTTATCAGGTTGTTTAGACTCAGCTTTCAACACAGCTCGAAATAGGGTCAGTCGGTCCCTTCTGTTTGAAGTCAACGAAAGCACAACGGCAGGGAGAAAGGAACTCACGGAAAGAGACAAATACCTTTTATCAGCTCTGCATTAGAGAAAAGAGTCCTTTCATATGACGTCACGTCCGATCGTGAATGTAAACATCCGCCATCGCGGTGTACAGATCTAAACTCAAAATGTGGCGTGTGTATGTGTGTACGTCTGTACGTGTGTACGTGTGTATGTGTGCATGTGTGCTTCATCTACAAACGCCTTCCTTTTGTCGTAGTAAAATTAAAAGACTGTTTTTCACGCAGCTTACGGTCGTCGCCAACACAATCATTCAATGCTCGTTTTGAGTCGCTACCACAACCATTCAATGCTCGTTTTGAGTCGCCACCACAATCATTCAATGATCGTTTCGTTTGCATTAAAATAAATATGGTCTATTATATTATTGAAGCTATACATAGTTTGAGAGTATTGGAAAGTCTTAGGTATTCTACCACCTCACCACTCTACCCCAATACTAACCTCACCACTCTACCCCAGCACTAACCTCACCACTCTACCCCTGCACTAACCTCACCACTCTACCCCTGCACTAACCTCACCACTCTACCCCAGCACTAACCTCACCACTCTATCCCAACACCAACCTCACCACTCTACCCCTGCACTAACCTCACCACTCTACCCCAATACTAACCTCACCACTCTACCCCAGCACTAACCTCACCACTCTACCCCAATACTAACCTCACCACTCTACCCCAATACTAACCTCACCACTCTACCCCAGCACTAACCTCACCACTCTACCCCTGCACTAACCTCACCACTCTATCCCAACACCAACCTCACCACTCTATCCCAACACCAACCTCACCACTCTATCCCAACACCAACCTCACCACTCTATCCCAACACCAACCTCACCACTCTATCCCAACACCAACCTCACCACTCTATCCCAACACCAACCTCACCACTCTACCCCAGCACTAACCTCACCACTCTACCCCAACACCAACCTCACCACTCAGTGGGTTTCGAACACCGGCCTTCTTCAATGTTATGTATCTGCCCATTTCCGCTTCCAGACCTGACCAGCCCGTGCAAGAAGAACCCAGCAGGACAGCTGACCCATTCCTTGTTGTCAAACGATGTCCGCCAGTCCTGGAAGACGACCATCATGTCTGACCAAGTCCAAGGTTCGTCTGGTCTAGGGTAGCACTGAGCCGACTGGAGTCCGGTGATGCTGCCACTGGTACCAGAGCTGGACAAGCCGAACCCACGGAGATACGTGTACTGGCACTGTGAGACCCCGGGCCGCGCGAAACTCTGGCGCCAGTCAGTCGTGGTGCAAGTGCCAGACACGACGCCTACCAGGCTGAAAATGTCAGTATGTAGGTCAGTTCCATCCCCGGGACTCGTGACCCCAAGCGACCCGAGAGAAACAAAAATTAGTTCACGTCAACAAATAATTGTATACTTGACCTTTTGTCGAACACATCTTTTTTAATGTTTCTCACTATCAAAGTTGGCATTAAAATCGTAAGTATGCACACGCATTCTATTAAAACCAGAAATATGTTCACAAATTCCATAATTTATTTCTAGAAATATCTGTTAGACATTTAATAAAAACTTAACAAGTTGAAAATGTGATAACTTTATTAAGTTAACCAGTTAGAAATGAATCGACGACTCAGAGAGGAAATAAAACAGACATACCTGAAAGTAAATTGACAATAAAATGGAGAGCCCGAATTATAACCTCGAGACCTATCTTGAATGAGACGGCGGCAAATCTAAACTAAACCTTCTGCTTCTGCAATCAAAACAAGGCTATTTATAGCCACGCTGTCACATGATAAGGAACTCAAGACCTGTGGATTTTCTAAACATTTCTAAACCTCAAATGCAATTCAGAAACTTGAATTTGCAGGTTCTATGAAACTCATACATATATTTTCCTGTTTTAGGTGGCATTAACAACATGTACAAACAAAAACATCGAGACGCTTGCAGTGTTTCCTTGTAGTGAGGTCAGGGTAAATAAACCAACCAGGTTCAATATTCAACACAAAAAGGTAGTAAGTTTCCAGTATAGCTGCAACTTATACCTAAAGTATTTTTTTTTTTACAATTTAGGAAAATCTGTTGTTGAAATAAATTTGGGTTAAAAAAAAATAATGTAAATATTATAAGCAGCCTGGACGATAGGTAGATTCCAATGGGGCATGTCAAATCAAACATTTTTCCCATTCAGATTTATCTATAGCAATCCTCCCAAATTTTTATTTTAATAAATGTATTTTACACGTTTAAAGTAATATCAATAATAAATTATTTTGTAGTATTATACAGTTTCAAAGACATTATCATAAATTGTATATATAGTAATTAAATAGAAAACTAAATTGGTATTATAACAGGACCAAATTAGGGGATGCAACTCTGTTTCTTTTAAATGTTAAGTTTAATGTTGCTACTCTCAGCCAGGAAGAAAGACGCCCATGGAAAAGGGTGACGGGAATACTAATCTATCTTTCCTAATTTTTATACTTTAGACCAGGGGTCGGCAACATTGTGAGACGGAAGAGCCAAAAGTTAAAATCTACAAATCTTCAAAATTTAAAAAAAAAAGCCACAAACATTTTTATTCACTGTAGTGGAAAGCATGGAACATTGCCACGGGGCTGTCCATAACACAGCTGTGGAGCTGGGCCTAATGTACAGCGGCTGTCAGCTGTCCATATACGCTTTACACTCTTCTCAACCCATTATCATTGTTTTTTTTAAGTTGTTTTTATTTTTGCAGTATAATAATTTTGGAGTTTTTATAATAAAAGAATATAACTATTATGGAACTGGAGATTAATTATGTATGTGTGAAGTAGAATTGACTTAAATCAAACTAAAGTACTTATTACAAGTTATTGTTTTTTAAATTTTTTAAATATCACATTTGACAACTGATAAGAGACAAAGTAGCTATCAAAGCTACAACAGTTAACATTCCTTATCCTTCTATGATGGTAGCCTTAACACTATTGCCGTTGAGCGGCATTTGAGCGGCGTTGCGGTACTTTTTTTTTCACAGTCAAGTTTGTTGAAGTCTTTTTTCGGCATTTACGTTTAGCCCATGTTGTCGATCAAAGTTTGGAGCGATGACGAACCCCTACTGTGACAACTCATCCTCGTCCTTCACATCTGGATCTGTCTGTGTACTGGCATCGACCGTTTTGTGATGCGACCGCTCCCTCAGCAGCTGCTTGTTGTTTTTGCTCTTGCACAGCATGTAGTTGTCGTCGTTGAACTGGTCGTTGTCGTACTCGGCCTGCTGCCTCATGTCCGTGGTGCTCTGGGAGCTGGACGTCCGGTGACAGGACGCTTTCTCTTCGACGCCAGACTGGTTCCTGGTGCATCCATCGGCGTTGTCATGGCAACCTGAGGTGTCAAGTAGCTCATTCGTCTTGGTCTCACCTGTAGGACATAATATATTTCTCAATTTAAAATAAAACAAGTACACTTGACGCAGTGTACACGTACATCGGTTTTATGCAACTCCGACTTAGTATTACAAAATAATAACTTTTAAAAAAATAACATTGTAGTTCCACTATCAATAAACTAGCCAATATTAAAAAAAAAGAAATAATATGACAAGACATTCAGTAAAAATATGAGAATCAAACACGTATTTTCTCTCCTAATAAGTATTTAACTTCAATATGAGCTTCAACTTATCCAACATAAAAGTTAAAAGGTTCATATAATTTTTAAATTGAATAATCTAAAAAAAAATATTTTTTTTATTTTTAAGATAATACAAATGCCATTTTTCATCCAGGCAAGTTTAACATTATAATTGTGTTCGTCAACATATCCATCTTCCATCCATCCATCCATCCATCCATCCATCCATCCATCCATCCATCCATCCACCCACCCATCCATCCATCCATCCATCCATCCATCCATCTATCCATCTACCCATCCATCCATCCATCCACCCATCCATCCATCCACTACTAAAACTCAAGTTTGTTTTCATGGTTGAATATTTTTTTTTTTTGTATTTTTTGTTTGTCTGATTGGCTACAGGAGAGAATCTGTACTATGTGTAGAGCTGTAAAATAGTATGTAGGTAGAGAACAATTTTTGTTTTCAGACTATTAATCGCAAATGTATTTAAAGAAGTTAATTAATTTATACATTTATTCATTGGTAGATTAACCACATTAATTATAAAAGTTTAGAACATTGACTTTACTTTGAATAGTGACGTCACATGATTTATTTAGTTTTTACAACGTCAATGGCGGCTTCCATACAAGATTGTGCTGCCCATTCAGAACTTAACACGTTATAAAGCTAATTTTCTGTCGGCTATAGCTTTAACGATGCGTCCGTTTGCTATATTTATTAGGTTTTAACACTATTATCAAATTCTTAACAGTTCTTTTCATTTCTTGTATACTTATACAATAAATTTCTCTAGCTCTACAATCTAGATCTAAATAGCAGGTGTCGAAGAAAGTTATTTATAGAACTAGATCTAGATCTAGAATCTAGGTCGAACCAAATTATTCTAAAATCAGAATATTTTATTGAGTTTCTTTATTAAACTATTTTAGTCCTTAAATACTTGATATAAATCTTTTTTTTAGCTTCACGGGTCGTTTATTACAAAAATACAAATGGTTTATCTATCTAGATTTAATCTAGATCTAGATTATAGATCTATATCAAGACGGCCAAATCTAGACTTAAACCAGTCGTAGAATCTAGATAATTCTATCTAGATCTAGATAATAATGAGTTCCTATACTAAACTATTTCAGACCTTCATTATTTTATATAAATCTTTGTTTAGCTATGAAATTGGCTAATTTAAGATAAAGCTTAATTTGGAAGTTACTAGATCTAGATAGGGCCTATGCTCGTAAAATCATAAGGAGACTCAAAGTATTAATTTATACCACAAAAATACATCAATTGTCACGAGTCTAGATAGATAAGTTATTAGTGTAATAGGCTTTCATGCGGGTGGTACGGGGTGTTCTAGACACGTCAATGTAAAAAAAATCTTCATTTTTTTTAGATGTGAATGATAAAGTTGCCTATCTGAACTTGGCGGGATACAGGGAAGGTGAAGTAGAGTTCACCTTTTTCTTTGTCCTAAGATTATGAAGGGATAGTGTGGTCAGAGACATGCTCGGTCGGAATCGTTTTTTTTTAAACGATAAAATCATGTTGTCTTGAGACTTAGCGGGACACTGGGCAGGTGAAGTAGAGTTGAGTAGGTCACCCGTGACGTCAGTATATGAAGGGATAGTGTGGTTAGACCTATGCTCAGTCGAAATCGTTGTCTTTTAAAAATAAAAAAAACGTCTTTTTGAATATGGGGTCTGGTTATTTTGAGATAAGTGACAGACGTGATGTCATTTATGGTTGATCTCCGAAACCTACAGTTATCTAACTAGATAACGGTTAGTCTAGTAGAAGAGAAACATCCGCAAGAAAGTGAAAGAAAAGAAACTTCCCTGTTCCTATACCGAAGATCCTCTTAATATTGCCAACGAACTGTTTGATGGTCGTATTCGGGATACGGTGGTCAGTGGTGTTGAGGATAACTGCGTCGTAGTGCCCAAAATCTGGCCCAAGCCGCGTGAAGCGAATAGCCAGGGGAGACGACTGGGGAAATTGTACATCATGAAGAGTTATCTAAAAATGTATTTGAAATATCATATCTCTCTCTCTCTCTCTCTCTCTCTATATATATATGTATGTATATATATATATATATATATATATATATATATATATATATATATATATATATATATATATATACAATTCTCTTCATGGGGCTCATGCGAGACACCACCAAGACGTAAGCTCAACAGACCATATCGCATCCACCCCACCGCCACCAGTCTGGTGAGCTGTTTACTATCGGGTCGAATTAGTGACAGCTATAGGGCTGGTAAGTAGGTCACCAACCAGTTATGAGCCATAGAACTGGTTGGTGACCTACTTACCAACCCCAAGAGGGGCAGATAATTTACTTTTTAAACGATTTAAAACTAAGGGGAGGTAATAACACATTCTGCTTGATCTTTTCATTGTCGTCTGTAAACTCTCGTCACGGTTGGCTGCTTTCAAGGGGGAGGGAGTGAGGAGTGGAAATTGAGGTTGAGGATAATCGTGCTTCACGAGCTACTAATAGTGTTTTAAAGCAAAATATTTTCAGTCGCGGCATTGGTATTGTGGAATTAACAAAATATGAAAAATGTGAAATAAAACAACTAAATAGCGGCGTATGTTACGCCGCGGGTCAGGTCGTTCTTTATATTCACCTACTGAAATTTAATTAATATTTGGGAATCGATCCTGTTCGTATGACGTAATGACCATCAAATCTGTATTAAGGACGACACTTTGTGCATAAAACCACATACCTCAGGGAATTGATCCTGCCCGTATGACGTAATAGCCTTCAAATCTGTATCTAGGACGACAATTTGTCTCTCTAGCACCATGGCTGCCGCGTTAAGCTCAAGGTCACCTGGCATATCCTCAAGCCGATCCTTAAACTGCAGGTAGTTGGTCAGCTTGGGCTTCAAGAAAAATGTTACCAGCTATAACCAAACCTTCGAAACACAGATTATATCTTTGTATCAATTATTGCTATTAATATTTTGCTAAGTCAATGTCTCCTTAAAAACACGGTTTATTAATTTAAAAAGATTCTTAAAAATATTTATTTTGTTCCTCAATTTTGGTCAACAATAATGATCTGCCAACCTAGTCCACTGTCTTTAGTGATGAACACTTAGACTTAATTAGGAATCGATTGGCACACACTTCAGTTATCCAACAAATCCTAATTAAACTGTACGATATCTGGTGTTTTACCAAACATTTTGCTAATTGAGCACCCACATAGGTTTTGTTGGTCTGTAGACGTCAGATTGTTTTGTGAAAAATTTAAGCTCATTAAAATATAAGCAATTTACTTTACACACAACTTTTAAAATTACTTTCACATATATAATAAAAATAATAACATCTATAAAATGAAACCTTTCCAATTAAGATAGGTAAAACTCAGACAACCCCTTACACATAAGCGAAGCAAATGTCATGCAACCCCTTACTTTTATAAAGGCGAACCCTTACATATAAAATAAACCGGGAGTGATCTCCCCTAAACTTTCTCGAATATTCAAATATAACACTACGTGGGATGGCAACTCGGAATATAGACATGATTTTTGTTTACTTAAACTTTTAAACATAGAATAAAACATAGTAGAAAAAAAATTGCGCACCAAGCGAACGTAAAAACAAAATGTGCATAATAGTACGCAATATTATTAGTACTTTATCAATTAACATGCATTTTTTGAGAAATCGGAAATGGCGTAAATTAGTACTTCCGGTCAACGCAAATTACTCAAAATTTGACAGAACTTAGAGAAATGGATCTTTTACTTACATGTGAAATTTCATTTATTTGTCTGAAATAGTCTCAAGTTATAGGCTTTTGAAAGATTCAAAGTAGAAAAGGTACCACTTCCGGTTATCGGAAATCGCTCAAAAGTTGATACGGATCTACGATTTTGATAAAATACTTAAATATGAAATTTCATCAACCTAGCTTAACGGTACTCAAGCAGTGGCGTAGGCAGGGGGGGGGGTCAGAACCCCCCATAGACCCTTCGGTATATATATATAAAGTATAAGGGGGGGGGGTGCAAATCGAAAGTTTGTCCCCGGGTAAAATTGGAATCCCCACGTGAGACTATCCTGGCTACGCCACTGTACTCAAGTTATCGTGTTTACACACACACAGACACACGCACAGGCATACGGACAAGATTGCAAAATTATGTTTTTCCGTATCTGTGTGTTGCACGATTACAAAACTTTCTGTATACTTCGTATATAGTATATACGAGAAAGTAAAAAACGGCAAAACGCAGGCAACCCATTAGATTTAAAAAGGCAACCCATTAGATTTAAAAAGGCAACCCATTAGATTTAAAAAGGCAACCCATAAGATTTAAAAAGGCAACCCATTAGATTTAAAAAGGCAACCCACAAGATTTAAAAAGGCAACCCATAAGATTTAAAAAGGCAACCCATTACATGTAAGAAAGGTAAAAGTCAGGCTGTGACGGGGAGAATCTTTCCTCTACTAACCCTACCTGGTTAGCGTTGATGATTTCCTGCTCAAGCTGCGAGTACAAATGCAAGTTGTCTTTCATCATCTTGACAACAGCCTTCCGAAACTCATCCGCCAAGCAAGTTTCCAGCTCCGCATCGTGCTCCCTCTGTGGCCGGCCGGATTCGTCCCTCCGGCCAAATTGGAACAAGGAGATGCTGGCCGTAACAAGGCTCCTAAACATGCACCTCCCGTCCTTCTCCACACAGATGACCTTGCAGGCAAACCCTTCAACCGGGGAGACATCAACTAGACTTTGGTGCGATTTGTGTGGCAAACCAATGTCTTCGCAGTCCATTTCAACTATATAACATTATATAATAATAAATATGTCAAAATCTTCACGGCTGAACAGCACTAAACGATCTATACTTACACAATAAACATGTATTTTATGGGCACATCAAGGTTTGTCTGTGTGTAAAAAAGTACTGTATTACTTTGAGTCTACGCTCCATACAAGTTGACATAGATCTTTATCTACATCAAGATATATAATGTTACAAATATATAATGTTTCTTAAACTTAAAAGTGATCTCAAAATAATTGCTAAGCACAAGTTGTTGGACGAAGTCATTTCTTCCTCAGTTCTGTGCTTCAGGTTCCGTTCAAAAACAAAACCAATCGGTGCATTCACTGCACGCACCAGGAGTTGTTTGCATTCGTTTTTGGCGTGAAAGAAATCAAAAAGTTTATTGTAAAAATATCCAGTGTTTCTTTCAGGCTTTTTTCTCCGGGGAAGGGGGTGAGGGGACGACGACATTTAAAACTTTCGAGGGGGGTGCGAGGCGGACACTGTTAAAAGTATATATATATATATATATATATATATATATATATATATATATATATATATATATATATATAGGCATTAATTACCCTAGCGCTTACTGCAGTCATAATCATAACCCATCTAGCCCTAGGTTCTAGCCCATCCTAGTCCTAGGCTCAAGCCCATCTTAGCCCTAGGCCTTAACCCATCCTAGTCCTAGGCTCTATCTCATCTTAGCCCTAGTCTTAGCCCCAAACCCTACCCTAGCCACCTAGCTAATAGCTATGGCTCTAGCCCTAGTAGGACATAGCCCTATGAGTAACACAGCCTGTATCTATCAGCCATTAGCCATTAACCATTATGCACTAGCCATTGGCCATTAGCTTTTAACCTTTAATCTTTAACATTTAGCCTTCAAACTTAGCCATTAACCAAAAGCCATTAACCTTTACCCATTAACCAAAAGCCATTAACCTTTAGCCATTAACCTTTAGCCATTAACCTTTAGCCATTAACCTTTAGCCATATTTGCCATTGACATAGAATACTAGACAACTCTCTTATAGCGATAGCAGCAATAGCAGCCATAGCAGCCACATCACTTGAATAGCTGTAGGGTCACGCTCTACTCATAACCCTAGCTGTATAGTGGTAGTCATTTTTGTTATCAGCCATAGGCATTACCTTTACCTTTGCACCCAATTCTAATAGTCTAGACCCATCGATCTTAGTCTAGACTATGTTTGTAGCCTTGATCTTAGCTCTTATGATTAAATAAAGTCTGTGCTCTAGTCGCAACCTAAGCCCCGATTCCCTGAACCTATCAGGAACAATCTATACGATACTATCTTGCAGTGCGCTTTGTTGTTTCACATACCAGTCCATAAATAAACCGGGAGTGATCTCCCCTAAACTTTCTCGAATATTCTTATAAAAAATAACGGGATGGGAACTCGGGCTATAGACATGATTTTTAATCCATTTTAAATACTTAAAGTTTTAAAAAATAGAATAAAATCTCGTAGACAAATTAATTGCACACCAAGTGAACGCTAAATAAAAAAGTGCATAAGATGTTCACAATGGTGCGCAATATTATTAGTACTTTATAAATTTAGATGCGTTTTTGAGAAATCGGAAATAGCGTAAATTAGTACTTCCCGTCAACGGAAATTACTCAAAATTTAACAGAAGGTAGAGAATTAGATCTTTTACTTACATGTGAAATTTGATTTATCTATCTAAAATAGTACTCAAGTTATAGGCTTTTGAAAAATTCAAAGTAGAAAAAGTACCACTTCCGGTTATCGGAAATCGCTCAAAAGTTGATACGGATCTACGATTTTGATAAAATACTTATATATGAAATTTCATCAACCTAGCTGTAACGGTACTCAAGTTATCGTGTTTACACACACACACAAAGACACACACACAGACATACGGACAAGATTGCAAAATTATGTTTTTCCGTATCAGTGAGGTGTAAAACGTCGAGATTTGTAAAAATCTCGATTTTTTTTTTTGCACGATTACAATACTTTCTCTATACTACGTATATACGGGAAAGTAAAAATGGCTTACATAAAAACAATTGCTGCAGCTATTGTTCCCAATTTTATAATTAACCATTTCTAATTAATCTGCAATCATGCATTTATATTTCGTACAGGTATTACTAATTACCTACGATTTCACCACATTTGATGTGGCTATTGTAAGGGCAAAGGTTAGTGTTAGACACTGTTAGACTTAGCACAGGGGCGTAGCGAGGGGGGGACGGCAAGGGGGGGAAACATATGTCCCCGGGCGCCGACCTCAGGGGGGGGGGGGTGCGCCAAAATGGGTTGGAAAAACAAATTGAAAGTTTGAGGGGGGTGCAAATCAAAAGTTCGAGGGGGAGGGGGGTGCAAATCGAAAGTTTGTCCCCGGGTGCCGGGAAGGGTCGCTACGCCTCTGACTTAGCATAAAGTAGGAACGCATGTATAGTATAGATTCCTTTCAATGTATAAATTAAAATGCTAACATATTTCTATGATGGTAAAGTAATGTGTGCCTAAAAACAAATATACGAGAAAGTAAAAATATATGACAGAAGCTAACAGAATAGTTTTGAAGGTAACTTCATGTTGTAAGCCTAACTTTCGTAAGTATTTTCATGTTTTTTACTTTCTCGTATATACGAAGTATAGAGAAAGTCTTTTAATCGTGCAAAAAATAAATCGAGATTTTTACAAATCTCGACGTTTTACACCTCACTGACACGGAAAAACATAATTTTGCAATCTTGTCCGTATGTTTGTGTGTCTGTGTGTCTGTGTGTGTGTCTGTGTGTAAACACGATAACTTGAGTACCGTTACAGCTAGGTTGATGAAATTTCATATATAAGTATTTTATCAAAATCGTAGATCCTGAACAACTTTTGAGCGATTTCCAATAACCGGAAGTGGTACTTTTTCTACTTTGAATTTTTCAAAAGCCTATAACTTGAGTACTATTTCAGATAGATAAATCAAATTTCACATGTAAGTAAAAGATCTATGTTTCTACCTGTCGAATTTTGAGCAATTTCCGTTGACCGGAAGTACTAATTTACGCTATTTCCGATTTCTCAAAAAACGCATGTAAATTTATAAAGTACTAATAATATTGCGCACTATTATGCACATCTTTATTTGACATTCGATTGGTGCGCTAATCTTTTTTCTACTAGATTCTATTCTATTTTTAAAAGTTTAAGTAAACAAAAATCATGTCTATATTCCGAGTTGCCATCCCACGTAGTGTTATATTAGAATATTCGAGAAGGTTTAGGGGAGATCGTTAAATAAGATTGTTGCCTAACGTGGTAATGATCTCGTTATCTCCCTTATATTCAGGCTAATTAGCTTTCCCCAGATATTCGAGCGAATTTCTGAAACGTATGAAGAATGTTAACAACTTCACGAACGTGTTTATAAAGAATTTCAAAGCTCTGCTGGATGATTTTAAACTGTGGAAGTTGTGTAAACAGTTTGGTGAAGTGACCAGTGCTAAGGTAGGTGCTGCATGTGTCATACAGCCTCGTTCTCGTGCTAGGCGGTCAGCTGACCCTGACACTTTGTAGAGATCTCAGATTAAAATAAAGTGGCGGAGCTATTGGATATCTGCTCAAGTTGTGGGAGATAATAAACCAGAGGCGTAGCGACCCTTTCCGGCGCCCGGGGACAAACTTTTCGATTTGCACCCCCCCCCCCCCTCAAACTTTCGATTTGCACCCTCGAGATTTTGATTTGCACCCCCCCCCCCCTCAAACTTACAATGTATTTTTCCAACCCATTTTGGCGCCCCCTAAGCTCGGCGCCCGGGGACATATGTCCCCCCCCCCCCCAGTTAATTAATTTAGTTAATTAAATCAATATCGAATTAATACCTCAATTATGCTTACTATTAATAGCGTGGTGACTATTATTTAAGCCGACGTTTAACATATATAAAAATGGGAGGGATCTTGTATTACACGAAAGTAGGATATTTCTTATCTACCTTCTACACAACGGAGGGTAAATCGTTCATAGAGTAGCAATAATACTTCTAGGTTCAACCCCTTCCCCAAGGCATAAGCTACGATAAAATTTGGTACTGCAAGAACTAATAGAAACCGAATTTTCTTTAAAAACCTTGGTGAAGGCTTATACTGTGTACAAAAGAGTTTATATGCCAAATAATAGGTAAAAATCTTAGTTTAGCGTCGTAAATTCCAACGTAGCTAGTAATGTGCGATGAAGGTAACTAATGAATATTTCTTTCATTTGGCCATATTTATGTCATATTTTACATAATATAACAGATAATTGAATAACAAATCAAAATCCACGACAAAAACAATAAAAATATCCTGGAATAAACTTTAAACTACCCCGTTCGAGACAGCAATGAGTAAATACAAGCAGCGGCTATGTTTCAAAAACCATAAATTGTCTATTCGCATGTCTTTTGTGTTGATTTTGTGGCTTAATATGATTGTTTTGTATTGATTTAATATATGCCTGGGGGTCGTCCATAAATGACGTCACAGCACACTCGTAGGGGGGAGGGGGGTCCGTAATTTTTTGACGTTGTGTGATGAGGGGGGGGGGGGAGTTAAGATGGTGCGACGTCACACTCTTGCATTTTAAAAAAAGCTATGTTAGAATACGAATTTTAGACGTTATTTTGCGTTTTAGAAAACTGTTTTAATATATTGTAATTACAATTGATTAAAATACTCTATTTTGACATAGTTCAGACAAGATATTGGAAAAATATAGCTGTTTAAAAACAATTCAACTGCAATTTGGAGGGGGGGGGGTTGTAGGCTGAGGTGTGACGCAGAGGCGTAGCGATGGGGGGCAGGGGGGGGGACATATGTCCCCGGGCGCCGACCTTAGGGGGCGCCAAAATGGGTTGGAAAAAGTAATCGAAAGTTTGAGGGGGGGGGTGCAAATCGAAAGTTTGAAGGGGGTGCAAATCAAAAGGTTGAGGGGGGGGGGTGCAAATCGAAAGTTTGTCCCCGGGCGCCGAGAAGGGTCGCTACGCCTCTGGTGTGACGTCATTTTAGGGGGGGGGGGTCTGGCTTTTTGTGACGACGTGTGACGGAGGGGAGGGGGGTAAAAATCGTCAAAAAAAGCGTGACGTCTTTTATGGATGACCCCTTGTATAGTAATTTTTCTTTTTTTTAAATATAGTTGACATGAATGACTAATAGACCTTTTCAGACTTAATAGTGTGCATCCAAGACCACAACAATTGTTGGGAGGTCGAACTTGTGAACACTTTATTTGCAGTAAGCAAATCAATATTAGATCGCTCATAAATGACGTCGCTCTTAAGATAGTAATGACAGCGTGCATTATTACAGAGCAAACATATGAACATATTGTTTCAGATAGAAATTGTGATTTGTGGTGGCGAGAGGTTGAGTAGAACTCAGCGATGTGATTTTGGAGACGGGTCAGGGTTTTTTTTTTTCGTGAAAACAGGGGATGGTTGTGGGAGAAAGACCAGCTGTAGAAGTATGACGCGTCATTCATTGGTGATCCATTTTCTCAGTGGGGACGATATAACTATTAAGAAGGGTCAAGAAATGTAAAAAAGCATGCTGAGTCGCATTTCTTGAACCCCACCTTTTCATTCCCCCACTTAGCACATCGTCATCGCATTAACGCTCGCGCGTGACGTCATGTACCGGTACCGCCGACCGTTAGGCTAATTTTATAGAAAAAAAAACAAGCACTGCCGTTTTGACGTTTAAGCGACCTTTAATTTGATTACATAAGTTGGTGTTCATTACACAGCCCCTAACACATCTATCACTTGTCCATTTAAACGTACGTGGTTATTTCTGTAAGCTTGCTGTCTTGAGACTTTCGGCCCTTGAAAAATGTATTAAGCTCTCACCGTATAGAACTAGACTACCCATATTAAGCTCCAAAAAAAGCTTGGTGAAAACAGGATGCCCGTCCGATTTTGAAGCTGCTCTGCGCTTTATAAAAGGCACCATAAACGATAAGATGACACTTATATTAAAGTAAGTTATAGTTCTGAATCTTGATACATATATTCGGAAATTAAGAGCCAGACAGTCAACATGATATTTCAATTTAAGTCCACGAAAATAAATTTCCTCAAACCATGGAACATTACTAAATTTTCGCGCAGTTTAGCGAAATTGAATTTAAGTATTTACGTCATCTTACAAAGCGCGATAGCCTACTGTTGCTCTAACGCGGCCCATGCTAATGGCCGTATTCCTAACACCCCGCATTCGACGCGGCTTATTCGTCGGCAGGCATTTGGTGGCAAGCCTTTTTTGACGGGGATAATGTGTTGAGGCCGTTTTGCCAAATGTCTTAAACTAGCAGGCTTGCAATATTCGTGATGATTCGTTTTGAGCAAGGTATACATATAGTAATGCTTATTTATCGTTATTTTGATTGAACAAAGCATTATAGAGGCTCTCCGTCAACCACCTAGGTATTTTCCCCCGTTCACCTCCTTTCATGATACCGACACGTCATAATTTGCAGAGCCGCCTGAGTTGACGCCACAAATCTTCACTCACTCCCGTAGCAAATCAGATGTGACATCATTTATGGACAACCCCATATCACTCACTTGGGTACTTGATATTGACAATTTGACAACAAAGGATAACCAAAATGTGTCTGGCAGGTGGAGACTTGCGATCGACCATAATGACAACACGCACTTAAGGGGTGGACTGGCTCATTGTTTTAGATGATGTTTTACGAGGGAAGCTGGTGGATAACACATTTAATGTTGTCAAAATTATGGTTAGAGATCTTAGATAAGGCAGAGTGAAGCATAATTTTTTACATTATGACTTGTTGTGACAATGACAACAAAATATGGCGGAGGTTGGGGTTTAATTAAGGTAAAGAGAAGTAAAAAAAAATGTCATAAGTTACGATAGAATCACTAATTGATGAAAAGAAAAACCTGAAATGAAAATAGTGAACATTCAAACAATAAGAAAAAACTCAAACTATATAGTAATAGTAAGATCAAATAAACATTAGTAAAAAAAACGTGATTTAATACATGGATACAAGTTGCACACAATGCTTCTAGAAATAATAAAGTTGTTTGTTGGGAAATTCAGTTTTTAAAGGGCAGAATTAAAAAAAAAATGCTTTGTAATACGGACTATACAACAAGACAATCATATTTAAATACATTTTCATACGAATAGAAATGAAAGGGAAGCTACTCTAAATAACATTTTCTTAATATGGCTGCTGTTTTTAATAGCAAATTTACTATCTCGAACAGGGTTGATAAAAATTAATTTCAGGATACTTAAATTGATTTAACCATAAATTGTGATCTATTATTCAATTATCTATAATATTTTATCAAAATATACGAAAATATACTCATATTTAATGATATATTCATTAATTCACTCTCTCCCACATTACTAGTTTTGGCCGAATTTACGACGCTAAACTAAGATTTTACCGCCAAATATATACTTGTATATACGAGTATATACTCGCCAAGTAATCAATGAATCAGAATGCAACCAACCCTAGGCAATGTATTATATGTTCACCATATTTAACACAACAAATATACCAGTCACTAATGCGAATAAAAGGTTGTCATCAAACCAAAATTGTTTTGACCGGTACAAATTGCCGTCGAATGTATTCATTCAATAAACTCAATCAAATGTACATCTACGTTGTCAGAATATTCGACTAAATAATTTCATAGAAACTTTTTGTTTACTGTCTCTACAGAAACTATTTAACTTTCTATTGTCATTCAACAAAAAAGTAATAAGTTTTAAATTGATAGTGTATTAGATCTAGATTCTAGATACAATACGAGAAGTGACAGATCAATATTTAAAGATTCATTGAACTCAGTGACTGGTTTTTATGTCATCTGTTTCAATGTTTGCTTTTCACTTAGTGGGCAGAAAAAAACAACGCCCCCCCCCCCGAACGAAATGAAGTTTATATAATTTATATAGAAAATATATACTTTTAACAGTGGTCATGGTGGATGAGTATGGTATATCCAAGGGCTTCGGTTTTGCTTGTTTTTATCGATTCAGACTCAGCTCAAAGGGTAAGCTACAAGGGCACTCACTCTTGTTTTGTTTCTGCATTATGAAAATGAACAGGGCTTACCTCCCCTGGCTGGCTGTTGTAACACGAATTTTCAATCTACGAGAGTTGGTTAGCTTGAAACTTTCTGATGGGGGATTTCCGTTTCTGATCGTGTTGCAGGCTGTGAATAAGCTGAACGGGCTGGTGTTGGATGGGCGAACGTTGTATGCTGGTCCGGCATTGATAAGGACGCAGATACACACACTGATTTAGTGACTTAAATGATTCCGTTAAAAACTCGGCTATCCCACGGTATTCTTCTTGTTTTTAAATTGATTTATTTTTAGTAGGTTTTTATGTATATATCTATAGATTTAAATGAAATAGTTCAATTCTTCATCAGTAACCATATCATATTAAATGCACTCGCTGATTAAGAGACTTAAAATTAAGAGACTTAAAAGATTTCTTTAAAAACCCGACTGTTCAATGGTAGTTATGTTGTTTTGTCTTTTAAAAACTCCTATTTTGGCTGAGCATGGGTCTGATTACACTATCCCTTCGTAGGCTAAAAAGACAGAATCAGGTGAACTCTACTTCACCTGCCCCATGTCCCGCCAAGTCCCGATAGACAACTTTATCATCAACATATAAAAAACAATTGAAAAAAAAAAAGATTGAATTGGTGTATCTCGAATCCGTATCACTCGCATGGCATCAATTACACTCTCATCTCCGCTATTTAGGCACCTTATGCCATGATTAAGGGGATATGCTATGTTTTTTTTCTATTTTTAACAGTTTAAGATCTAAAGCCTTTTGAATACTTTTATCATATTTGGCATATAAAAGTAAGTATTAAACAGCAAAAAAAAAGGGTCGTAAACAATTTTGGTTGTCATGGAAACCCAAAAAAACCTCCGCCATTTTTAATTTTTTGGTACTTTTAAAAATACTAAGGCTTTTTTATTTATGCACTTATAGCTATCAAATTTAAACTGCTTATATTTCAGTATATATTAAAACTTTTGTCACGACAACTTTTTGAAATAATTACTAGTAAGAATTTTACAAGGTCTAAAAAATCGAACCCTTTTTAGTATTCACAAGTTTCAAAATGTGCATATTAATTACCAAATACTTTTTAGCGCAATTTCCATTCTGGAGAATTGCGTTTATTAACCCGTCATTTCTGGATGTATGAATGTATGAATGAATGGATGGATGGATGGATGGATGGATGTGTGTCCGCAGCTTTAAGTCGTATCTCCTCCTCAACGAAGCAATATCGATGACTAGTTCCAAAAGCAATTATGTTAAGCAAGTTACGAGGATGAACATAGGCCATAAAAAATCCGGGTTTCTTTCATGGATTTCCCGGAAAAGCCAAAAAACCTCGAAAAAAAGCAGTTTTTGGCCAATATCTCGGCAACCAGACCACTTAGCGACTTGAAACATGTACCCATCGATTCCTGCCATAATTTAGAACAATATTGCCGAAGAAAGTTTTCAAAACTATCCTTTCGTTCGGTCACAAAATTTTTTTTGAATTAATTAAAATTTGGACCGCATTTTATGCAACCACACCACACGCGTCATCACGTTCAATAGCTGCGCCATCACGTTCAGTGGCTGCGACGTCACGTTCGGTAGCTGGGCGCGCAATAGTTTTTTGGTCATGTTACTCTATTGTAAATAGAACATGTAAAATGCTGAAAAAAATTAATAAAAAAACGTTTTAATGACTAACCAATGGTTTTACTAACCCTGCTCTTGATTTACGCTACGATAGAGCTATTTTTAGATAACACAAGGAAATTGCGCTAAAATTGTCACTAGACTTTTTTAAATTACTTGTTTTCTATGAAAGCAATCGCAATTCCCTCGTGACAAAAGTTGTATTTTCGCATCAAGAACAAGTACTGAAAATATGGTTGGCATTGTTTAATAAATAAAAAAGTAGTAGGCTTTTTAGTGTTAAAAACCTGCGAACTGAGAAAAACAGCCAAAAGTAACTAAAACTAGGTCAGGAAAGTACCATATCTGTGTAAACTGCAAAGCCGATTGTAAGCTTTGGGTGTTTCCGAGATGTAGAAATTAAGTTTATTAAATACATGAGAAATCCAGCTTTCCAATGATGTCTAATGCAATACAATGACGGATATAAAACTTTTCATAGAGAGCTTGTAAGATTGGGAAAAATTGATTATTTTTTAATTAATAGGGTCATAAAAATCGTAATTCAAACACATAAAATATTTTTTCCTCTTTAAAGTTATTTTTTTCTTTATACAAAACTGGACAAAGTATCCAAAAGTGCAAGAAACCCATCATGACGAAAAACAGGAAATTTTGTGATTTTTTTCCGCGCATATCCCCTTAAAGAAAAACTAAAGACCTACTTAAGAAACAACTTAAGCGAATAGCCCTATTTTTTCAAAGTAAATTTTATCCCAAGTTAGCCGATTCCATAGCTAAACGAACAAAGATTTCTATCAAATAATTAGCACCTGATATAGATCTAGAGTCTAGTTTAATATAGAAATGTATTATGGGAATAGAATCTAGAGTAGATAGTCTAAATCTAGATCTTAGCGTCTAAGTCTAGTTTTTCCGTAGATCTAATCTAGATCAAGAATCTCTAAATCTAGAATCCAAATAGATAAAGTAAATTTTATAAGTTTAGGCCGGGTAAATCGTATTGTAGACTCTATACATTTCATAGCGTACGTAGCTCTAAATCACATTTGAATGAAACAGTTCATTTCTTTATTTTATTCTAAACTCGGAAGAGGACGTCATTAGTTTTGTGCTCTTTCCTTAGTGTAAACATTAAGTGACGTCATTGTTACATGCGTTCTTGTCCCAACTATAAACACTTTTACGGTTGCATAATTAAAATTGTTTTTCTACATTCAAATACGCCTTTATGTTTTATTTTTCTTCCTTAAATAAAATTGTGTTTATACATTTAAAACATCTACCATATTATTTTCTAGTTTTTATTGGGTGCGAATCTATGAGTGAATGGTCCAATGGACAGCGGCATCGGGGTTCTCTTTCGGCCCGAAGCGGTCAGTATATAAACAGACCACTCGGATAATTTTTTTTCTTTTTGACCGCAAGAATGTAGGTCAAGTCAGTTTCTGTGGTCGCGCTTCGTGCGTTGGAGTGAGGTTGCTTGTGCAACTTGGCCGGGTGTTTTATATATAGTGTTTTGTTGTATATAAACTGTTTTGTTACGTTAAATTGTTTTGTATATATTGTTTTGTATATATTGTTTTGTACGTAATGTATTGTACGTAGTGTTTTGTTTGGCGTGGGCTTATGGATGTTGATAACGGATGAAGGGAGGTTTCTGTGTGTCAGAGCCTGGACCATCCTAGACATCATAAGTTGGTGCAACACCATCAAATAGTCGAACGTAATGTTTTGTTTAGTCGTCTTTTGTGTATTCTGTAGTTTTTCATCTTTTTTATTTAATGTGTTAAAGTTTTTTTTTTTTTTTAATTTAGACTAAGGTTAAGGATTAGCCAGTCTAGGTGACCGGACTTGCACTGACCGGACAGTAGTTAGATAAGCCTAGGGAAGGGTAGGATAAGATTTTAGGTATCCCCCCCCCTAGCAGGGCTTACACACAGACAGCAGCTTTGTGTGTGACTGACACGGCTAGGCACAAAACTACCCATAGTCCCATGTCACATGACATGGGACACAGGTAAAATCGCTCACAAGAGCATGCAACACAACTTTATCAACAGGGCTACGGCCCCACAGGGGCCGTAACTCAATGAATTAGAACTTTATTTGTTATCCCCCTTGGCTGGTAACCATGTGTTACACAGCCCCCCCCCCCCCTCCTCACAAATAAATGTACAATGGAATTTACATTTACAACTCATAAATAATTGTACTAAAAAAATTCAGTACAGTAGTACACAGACATTAAGTCCTAACAACTCAAATATACTATTGCCGGCAAACCGGTAGAGGCTTCAGTGTTGGTACTGGTCACCACTTGATGCGCCAGGTTGAGTCGCTCGACGGGTCGTCGTTGACGGGTTGACCTCCGCTGGTGGTTCTGGGTTGATCAAAGAGTCATCCTCGTCCGATGCCTCGTCCCTCGCATTCACCTCGTCCAGATGTGGGGCTGGCCTGACCATCACCTTTTCTTGTCCGTTCGGGCGACCACCTCTGGCACGAAAGGCGTTGCCTCCGGCCGAAGTCTGGTTGGGACCACCACCTTGATTGTCAGTTCCTCACCTTCATCTGCCTCACTGGTTGTGATGATCTCTCTCCGTCGCTCACCCACGGTTCTGAACTCGACATTGTACAGTCGGGTCGCTGCCAACCACGGCGGCGTCCACCGCATCGTCGGCCTCTCCTCCGGAGGCGTCTCCGACCTCCGACCATGAATGTCAGTCTCAGCGCGAGCAACTTCGTCGCTTGGGAGACAGACATGACACGTTTTTCATCGCTTATAGTAGAGTGATCGCTTGCATTATTGTGATGTATAGCATTTATTTTCTACTTTTTAGTTCAATCAGAAAACGTGAGTTTTTAAAAACTTTTTTAATGATAATTATTTTCTACTTTTTAGTCTTTGTCTGTTTGCATTCAAATCTTGCTATCGATTTTATCTTCTCGCATTCACTTTTTTTTTTGTAAACGAAGACAACTCATAAAAAACACGTGCCTTTTCCAATCGACGTTTCTTCTGTGTTGCCGTTTCTTTCACCATTTTGCCCTTGCGTGCAAACCACTCGACCATCAACATTTTACTTCCTGATCAGTCAGATTTGCATAGGTGTGTACACAAACACCGCGTGACCACTACTCAGTAAGCCTGAAGAGGGAAAGTACCGAACTTTGTTTTCATCAAATTACAATTACTGGGTTATGTCCCTTTTTTGGTACAAATCAATAGAAGTCTAAAATGATCAATAAAATTTTTCCATGGATCAATTTAGTAATAATAATAATTGAATATTGTACTGTCATCGGAAACAAAGCTTCCCTGAAAATTTCAGCGCGCTAGGTAACTGGGAAGTTCCCGAAATTTCGATCGCAAGATTTGATTGGAAAACCAGACGCGAAAGCAAGTTAAAGAAAACGTGGGAAAAAACTAAAATGACATTTCTTTATCATAAAGGTTTATTTTGTTTATATATTTTACAGGTAAAATTAAAATTCTCATCCAATAAATTGTTACAAAATTTGTAACTCAACAAAAACAATCTGCAGTTGGTACGATAAACAAATAGCTTTGCACCACTATTAAAAGCTTTTGGACTTATTTTTGCTGAACTCATTTTTACAAACATGCTGCAGTACTGTTTGTCAACTGATATTTAATTTAAGTGACATTTTTAGATAATAAATAAAAATCTAAAGGGGTAAGGTACATTAAAAAAAACTATCAATTCGTATCAACTTGAGTACATTATACCAATATAAACTTAGTATAGAATGAGCATTGCCAGATTGGTAGCTGCTCCAAAATCAATCAACCATTAAATGAATAGAAAAAAATATATATAAAATAAACCACAAAATACATTGTCAAATAGTATAACTATTACCAGTAAAAGACATGAACTATACTTAAGGGGAAATTTGAAAACTAACAGTACACTCAAGCCTACTGTCTGACACGTGCAAAGGTCATGCTGTATTTTACCATCAGAACAGCCAGGTGCATGCAATTTAAGTTCATATTGATACTGGTCCAGAGTATAATATAAAAAAGATAAATAGTATTAAAAAGCATTAAATAAACATTTAAAAATTTTTTTTGGCAAGTATATTTTAATTTTCAGTCATTTACAGCATAACTGACTAGAAAAATGCTAATGTCAGGCAGATAAAAAAAGGATGAAGATTTAAGTAAGTCTTGCACACATGCCTTTAGTGGATATAATTTATAAATAGTGTTTAAGGGGCATGTTCAGTCACCATATGATCTCAAGCTAGGTGACTTTTTGAGTTGGCAAGCACATAACCTACCACAAGACAGTCATTATAGGTAACTAAAGTGGTGTACATAACAGTAACTTGGCATGAGAGGTTGGGTTGGTAAAAATTGTAACCTAACCCTTTTGGCAATCATATGGGATTCTATGTTTAGCAAGAATTGATTTATCCAATCATTAAATTCACCATGACAGTGTATAAATATGGAACTTTTTTTTATTACAAAAAATTTGCCAAGCTAAGGTGGATATAGTACAGAGGCCTCTAAAACAAGGCATGCTCTCTGTATAACAGCAACATAAACCCAAAAACATATAGATCTATCTAGATTGGCTTAATCAAACATAACTGATACATGATTATTAAAAGTTATTATTTGTTATTAACTTCAGTAAAGTTTCTGAAGTGGAACACCTTCAATACAAACAATCATGACAGGGATATTTGATTATTTTGTACAAAAACATGATGCTGGTATGTAGTGTATAATAATAATTAACTTCACATATCTAGGTTTTTATTATAATTATGCAAGGTTTTTTCCAATAATCTTACATACATTACTAAGTATTTTTTATGCCTAGAGCATGAAGTTTATAGTCTAGATTGTTATCTTAATTGGTTGTAATGGGGTGTTCTGAATCACCCTTCAAAACATGTCTGCTTACCTTCACAAGGAATACAGATACTAATCAAATTATGGGTCTTCCTTAATGGTTTCTACACATTCTAAATAGAAGAGTAGGTTTAATCTATAACCCATTTTTAAAATGCATTTTCAGCTTTTGAAAATAAATTATCACAAATGACAAAAAGGAATTCAGAATGCTATGGAAAACTAAAATAAAAATTAATTTTAAGAAAAAAAAAAGGGAAAGGAATATGGGTTTCCATAGACTGCCCTTCTCAGCCAGCTTAATTAAAGGGTAAAAGACCCATTATAGGAAATATAAACTGAAAAGAACTAAATAACTCACACAATAGCTTCTGGAATTGGCGCACCATGAGTTTGAAAAACCCATTATAAGCAAAGGAAGGTGCTAAAAAAAAATCTTTAAAAAACCCACACCTACAAGTGAAATGAAAACATCATGGAACAGATAGCCTTATGGGTTCTTTGAAAGTAAACCAATGTCTCTAAAAAAAAGTCCTTAGTTATGTCCAATTGATAGTTCTGGCGTGAGCAAGTGCTTCTGGCCAATGCATGCAACCACTACTGATTTACGCTAACAAAAAAGTTTGCTGGTTGATGGACACATGATCACACATCTCTATTGGCCAACAGACTCACAAGGGAAAAGAACAAAAAGAAAAACAAATTGATAAAAGTACATTAAAAGATGGTGAGAAACAGAAAAAGAAAGAAGAAATTGAAAAGAAAAGAGACTCAAACCAAAAAGGGTTCAAAACAAAAAAGTCGAAACAAAATATATATCTACTAGAAAGGTAAATGATTAATTTGTATACTATATACCTTTAAAACAAGGTATAATATCAACGGGGGAACAGATCTAATAAATAATGAAATAAATTCCAACTTCCAGATATAACAAAATAACAGCAGTACAATGCATGTAGTTAAGTTCCAACTTGAAAGCTGCAAAGAAAAGAAAAACATGTTAATTTTATGAAACAAATAGAACTGAAATTATATTAAAATAAAAACTAAATATTTTCTACTTGCATTTTGTGTTGAGGTATAGTTAGGCTGTCAAAACTGATGCGGTTTTTGAATTTTTACATCCATAAATGCAGAACAAATAAAACTGTATCAGGCCCAGGATTATTCCAAAAGCATTGGGAATCTGAAAAATAAATTTATAAATCTGTGCTTACATTTTTGTTTCACTATACTGAAAAAATAATACAAAAATAAAAGCAGTATATAAAGAAGTAAATAAACCTATAATTATAATATTGTAATTACTATTATTTGTGAGAAATGAACATTGCGTTAAAAATGATGCCAACGGAGTGAGTTAAGATGAGTAAAAATATGTGCTGCTTAGAGTAAAATATTTCGGTAATAAAACTTACTATCACAACATTGTCATTGATTGCTACACCATATAATGTCCACTGAAGTCCACATAAAAAATTTATAAAACACAAGTAAAAGGACATGGATTCTGTAGATTTATGTTCTATGACCTTGGACTAAATAAAGAAAGAAATAAAACATTTTCAACAAAGTTACAATTGTTAATATATGTCAAAGTAATGACAAAAAAGTATAATGAACACATCTTTACCAGAGTAGCCAGTGGTGAAGCATAACATAAAATGCTAATTCCTGAACAGATCAATCCCAGGTTTCTAAGAGCAACATCTCCATCTCTCTCAAAGTACTGGATATAAATGAGTGGTGTAAACAAAATTACCGTGCCAAGCAGAAGAATACAATGGACCTGATGCTGAGGAAATAAAAAAATTAAATGAATCAGCTTGTAATTTTTGATATGTTGAAAAAGTTCTTGCTATATTTTCTTTAAATTTATGGGATTATAATTAGGCAATAATATTAAAATTCAATTTAAAATAGTAAAGATATATAATGAGCACCTTTTTCTTTGAATATATGTAGTAGACACAAATATACAAGAACTGTAGCAATGACCCTAACCCACTGGTAAGGGTGACACTTGTAATATTTGACATCAGGCCATACTTTAACCACAAACAAGCACTGTATAAATAAATATAAAAACAAGTGATTTTTTTATGCACTTAACACATCACGCAAGTCTATTAAGTGAGATTAAAATTTTTGTTTGTATTCGTAGTTAGTCTGATTTAGTCAAACCAAGCTAATTTTAAGTTACCAGTAAGCAGAGAAAGTTGATAATTTTACTCAGTCAGGAGTCCAACTGACAAAAAAAAAGATTTAATAGTTTTTTAAGAACATAAAACCATAAAATGCAGCAAAGCACAATACTGTACCTTATAAAATAAGCCACAAATGGAACTGGTGACATTTCACCTGTACTCCCATTTCGGACTATATGGAAACAAATCTCTCTAAATTGAAATAAACAGGAAAATTAATTTAAAATAAAATTTGAATGCAAATACTAGAACATTTATGATTTAATTAAAAGCCTTTATTAATGCTAACTATAAAGATAAATCTAAACAAAGAGTCTAAGGTTAAAGTATTGTTAATAATATTTGCTGCACAAAACGAGTGATCTAAAAGGACAAGTATCAAAGAAAAATGTAGATAGATTAACCTCAAAGAAATCATGTTCAACCAATCTTTAGAAAGAAATTGTTTCAAAAACCAAAATTAGCAATTGTTGGTGTAAAAAAACATTTAAAAAGCATGACACCATATATAGAAGATGACATAATGGCTATAAAATTTGTTAAAAAGCTTCAATTTGAAATAAAACCAATAAATTTAAAAAAACATACATGCCAATGAACTGACTACTGAAAGATGTAATTATTGCTATCACAGATAATGTTGCTGTCCAATCCATGTATACTTCTTAAAACATTGTATTAAGTCTTGTTTTCTTTGATGTTGAATTTGGCAAAATCAAGACTTTTGGCAATATCACAGGAAGGTGGATTTCCAGTTAAGGTAATCTATGATTCTGGGCTTTACATTCCTTCAGGCTTTATTAAATAAATAAAGCATATTAAAGTAATTTGAAAGTTTTAAAGCATAATTTTAAATTACTAGCCAAATGGACTCATAGAAAATGGGGAAGTTGTGCTGTTAGTAGTCAAGTTTGACTTAACCCGTACGAAGTTTCGTTAAAGACAAGTAGGGGCCAACTGGCTGAACAATGGAGTATCTGATTAGGATTTTTCTACTAGAACCAGGATTAGAATACTGATAATAGCCATATTAACAGAAAGTGATATTTCAACGCCAAGGGTAGACAAAGGTACAGAAAATAGTCCAAGTAAAGACAAGCAGTCAGACACCAAAGGGTTTCGAACCTACCATTCCACACGGCATCTATAATAGCCAAAAATATAGCCATTAAAAAGTTATGTCTTACAGGCATTTTAAAGTAGTAAACTTCAGGAAATTGAGTTAAGCTTTTGATTTGAGGTGACTGTTCAGTATAAACAAAACTACAGAGAAAAACTTGTAAAACAGTGTATTAAAATAAAAAAAAGCTGCACATTTTTCTGGCAAAAACTTGATGAGTATCCATTTCTTTATAGTCTTGCATTAAAATAGTAATGAGACTTAGTGACACTAGTAGTTTTCATTCATCCCAGTTAACACTCCTCCTCCAGCCCCATCCCAGGAGATGATGCCATATTTGGGTTAAGGGTCATGATGACTGATTACTATTTGATTCAGGCAGGAATTTGTAATTTAATATTTTCTGTTCATTCCTTGCAAATCTAAGAAGAAAAGAACTGTATTCAATATGCATTTTCAACTACAAAATTATGTATCCGCAGAGCGTTGTCAAGTAATTAACTAATACCAGCATTAAAACCCATTATGTGTGAGGTGCTGTTTAAATATCAGCACAGTGTATCACTTTGTGCTATCAGCTACTCCTTTGTATAATTTTTGTTTGATTAATACTAAAGTTATTTTAATGTAAATAATATTAGCACTACATTTCTTGGATTTTAGTTGATGGGGCCCGGTTTTGTCTTCTCAGATGCCCTGGAGTATTTTGGATGCTGACCTTGAGAGTACTTTGATCACCCCCCACAAGGGTAAAGTAGATTAACTCTTGGTGACCATCCAGGTGTCAGCTGCATGCCTGGACGCCATTGCTTAATCAAATGCAGGGATGCTGCCCCTGGTTCGGTTTAGTGTAGTAGTTCTTTGTAGCAAATGTAGGTATCATGGTGCTTAGGGGTCATCCATAAATGACGTCATGCTTTTTTTGACGATTTTTACTTCCCCTCCCCTCCATCACACGTTGTCACAAAAAGCCAGACCCCCCCCCCTAAAATGACGTCACACCTCAGTCTACAACCCCCCTCAAAATTGCAGTTGAATTTTTTTTAAACATCGATATTTTTCTAAATCTTGTCTGAACTCTGTCAAAGTAGAGTATTTTAATTAATTCCTATTACAATTTATTATAACAGTTTTTCTAAAACGCGAAATAACGTCTAAAATTCGTTTTCTAACATTGCTTTTTTATAATGCAAAAGTGTGATGTCGCACCATCTGAACCCCCCACCCCTCCTCCTCATCACACAGTCACAAAATTATGGACCATTGGCACAATACTTAAACTTACTAAGACATTTTTTTTTTTTAGTTTAGTTAAGTTTGCTATAGGGGCTATTATTAATATTATTATTTAATAAATTATTATTTTATTAGTTAGTCTTATACTATAGACTTTTAGTCACTTTTTAAAAATTACTGCTTAGCTGGGGCACAAGACTACCTATTAGATCTAGTGAAGTCAAGTACAAATCAAACTGGTGACTCCTATCTAGAACTTATAATATTATTATACTTATTACCTAAACTTAAATAATAAAAATATTAACTAATAACTTAAGGCAAGGCAAAATATTGAAAATAAATTCTAGAGTCTAGATTCTAGTAGGCCTAACTACTAACTATTATTACTTATAAGTTATTAGTAATCGTACTAATATCTGAGCCCATGTAGTTAATTGTAGTTTGTTTGCAGAAGGTAGATGGAGTGGGGAAGTGTGAACTTGGGTTGGCCCTGGTAAATCTAGATCAGATTGATTTCTGATGTGGGCCTGGCCTAGAATTACTTCTTAGAGTTTAGTAAAGGAAGGCTAATTTGTAATTTAAAAAAAAAATCAGAATTTTTTTTTTTAATAGGCAAAACTCATTTAGTTAAAACAAACAAGCAAGCGACCACATTTTTTAAGAGTCCATAGGCGGGAAATAGTATAAAAAACCCATACTATTTATTTATCAAATATAATTAGATTAGATAGGCTTAACTTTTTATTAAATTAAACGCAATAAAACGCCCCACACTAAAAATCTGTTTACTTGTTCACAAACTTGTCAACCTAATGTAAAGTATTCAACGTTGGTAAAGTTTCTAGCAGTACTAAAATTGGCAGAGAGTGAGAAATAATAAATAAAAAAATCAAATAAAACTTGCGTTAGGCCAAAATAACTTACATTGGATATTAATATTTAATAAGTTTTTAAAAATGTGTTATAAACTATCGAAATCATACAACTAAAATTTCATTTTTCTTTCTTTTATTGTAAAAACAATAATATTTAGAGCTTGCATAAATAGTTATTTTAACACAAAACAAAACAATATATTTAAAATTCCAATGCATTTATAAATCGAATATTGATCTGGCAGCGTTTATAAAGTGAAAGTAGTCGCATGGCAAGTAAATCTATTTTTTTTGGTTGTTTATAATTTATAACTTTAACTTTGTAATAAAACATTCGTTGAATCATTAAGCAAACACTTCTTCGGGTTTTTCTTATTAAGTTCTTATTTTAAGACTTAAGTAATCTATCTTAAGTTCTTGATTTATAAAATAACTACTTTCAACTTAACAATTTGAAAGTTTATTAGTTTAAAATAAGTTTAGCCTTAGCAGGGGGAGGGGAGGCTAAAATAATAATTAAAAATTAGTAGGCCTATATAGTAATTAAACTTTTACTGTTTAATTTTAATAGTAATACATCTAGTAATAGCTAAAAATGTGTAAGAAATGTTTGAGATACCATGCTTCTGCTTATTATACTTAATTATACATAATACTATGATAATACTAGGCCTATTACTTAGTACGAGCCGACCCGCGGCGTATCATACGCCGCTATTTAGTTGATTTATTTTCTACTTTTCAGTAATTCATAATTTGTGAATTCGACAGTACCAATGCTGCCACTGAAAATATTTGCTACTTTAAAACACTAACCCCCTTCTTTCCCCTAACCCCGACCCTACACCCCCCCCCCCCGTGAAAGCAGCCTCCTCTTAGTTACCTCCTTTAAGTTTAAAGTCGGTTCAAACTAAATTATCTGCCCCTAATAGCCGTCACTAAACCTGGCTGTACGGTTTGTAAACATTAACGTGACCACAGCTCAGCAGACCATGTGGGGGTGGGTAGGTTGGTAGTGATAGTGATACTGATAGAGAGAAAGAGAGGGGACTGTAAGGAGGCACTTGCAGCTTGTTTTCTAATGGCTCGCAGAGGAGAATTATATATATAGATATTAGATTTTAGATCTAGGCTACTTCTATTAAAAAAAAAACAAGTTAGTTTTATTTTCTTATTTTAAGTGCACTGAAAAAAAAAGATTAGGGCAGAGATTATTCCTACAACTAGTGCTTTTTTTCTAAAACAATAGGTGCCAGTCCTCAGTGATGGATCACCTAACTTTTAACGACTAGTTCCCATCTTGATGCAAGCTAAATCACAACTTCAAAGATACTAAATTCACTTTTAACAAATTAATAATATAATAAATTAATAATAGGCCTACACATTAAAATACAAGAAAAGTAATAATTTTTCTCCCACATTGAAAAAAGGTGCAGGTACACCGTACCGGTGCTTACTGTCACAAAAAAAGCACTGCATACTCCTATTTTTATTAAAATTTGTAATTAAGTAGGCTAATTACTTGTAGCCCTACTAATTACTATAGTAATTAGGGCCTATTTAAAAATACCTATTTATTAACAAAAATTGATATTATTAGGCCTATAAGATGTGTTGCCAGCAGTGATCTTAGCACCTGCTGTCCATCTATTGGGTATCCTGCACAGGAGTACTTAATTCAACAGGACCAGGGACATCCTTCGGTGGTCGTGTGACTGGTGTGCCTGGGGCTCCCCATGAACACAATATCACCTACATTCATTTAAATGAGCATCATACATTATGAATTTGGAGGGATATTGACTAAATAAATATTTGGTGTCCTCCAGTACCCCATTGTTCATGTAGCCCTTATTGCCCCTGGCTCCCAGTGAGCACTGTGGCACCTGCATTTTTTTAATGATCGCTATACATGTGAGATACAATGGGCTACTAAAATTGATGAGTAAATCAAGTAAATGTTGTACTCCATTGAACATCCTGCGCATGGGGTCAGGGGTACTACCACCTCTGGCAGTCAGGTGACCTGACTCCACATGCTCCCCTATGAGCACTATATTTGTTTTAAAGAGCACCTAATACTAGAGACACAGCGACCACTACATTCGATGACTTAACCGAACCAGAGGCTGCACCTGGTAGCTCACCTGAGTGCCTAGCGACTCCCCTGAATCTGGGTGGTTGCAAAGGGATGTTCTACCTCATTAATATGGAGGATGACTTAACGTACACTCATACAGCATGCCCTGCGGGCACATGACATATTGACTTCTTAATAATATTATACCAATCTGGTCAAGACCATAACAAATTTTATAGATGCATTGCATCAAAATAAAAACAATTCTCTCTTAAAGGCAATATTGTTTTCATGTAAAATTTGGTACTGTTTATTAAGGGTTATAAACAAATTTAGTTTGTACCCATTTTCTTAAAATCATGAGTTTTTAATATAGCATCATTAAAAAGTCTTTGGAACTTTTTAAATAATCTACATGAGGTACCTAGTTATAGTATAATTTTGAAAAGTTTGGCCTCACTTTCATTTTCAGTTATTCACTTCTAAAAATGGCAAAATCAAAGAAAAATAGACAGAAAGACTTTCAAAAAGTAAAGCTTAAAGTTGGGAAAAAATTACCCAAAGGTGACAATGTTACAAATTTGAGCTTCAAAACAAGGCAGATAAAATTGACCCAAAGAATCAAGGTTGATGACGGCCAGAAACCTGTGACAAGGAACAAACTCAGTTTACAGGTATAACATTTTAATATTAAAATAGAGTTTTATCATTTTTCAATGCATTAGCAGCAGCATCTAAAATCTCTTTATTTTTCCAATTAATTCATTTTATTTCTAAAAGGATTTATTACGTCAGTGTGACCACCACAGCAGCACTGCACGTGTAAATGCTGTGTGTGGATTAAAAGAGATGTGGACAACTCATTATAATGAACTGATGGTTTGCACTAATGTCCATGGGTATGGTGTCATTCTCAAGAAACTGGCTAACATGCTTATTGATAATGAAGCAGTTGTCAGGCACTCTGTTATTAATTTATTTAAGGTAAACTATTTTACATATTGATGCAACTATATTATACTGAAAAATAATCTTTGTCTATTGTATTTTCAATATTAAATATTTAGTTACTACATTCTATTCCCTCAATAATTTGACCAGCTAAAATAGACTAATAAAATTCTTTAAATTTGTTTATTTTTATCAGATGATGCTACAAAAGCTGTCAGCAAATAGAAATGATACTGGATGTAGTGTCTTAGGGGGCAACTTGTTCACACACATTCATGCTTACATGTGTTGTGCTATGAACCATGTACACGAAGACATTAAGTTGGATGCCTTGCTTCTTTTTGACTGCCTGTTAGAAACCTTTCCTACCTTGATGATACAGCAGACAGGTGATTTGTTGAAAAATCTTGTTGGTCTGATCTCTGCACCATCTTACCTGGGAAGCAAAGGTGATTCAACCACACAAAAGCTAAGCCTTAACCCAGACAGCAAACTTCCAGCCATGAAGTTTAGAACACGTGTGCTACTAAGGATGAAACGAATCTTTCAGGTTTGTGAAACCTAATTTGCTGTGTCTGTCAAAAAGTATGTTTCTATATTAGGAGTCATTCATTTATTACACACACACAGAAAGGTTGTCCAAAAATGTCTGCTTTAGTGGATGTGTGTGGTAGAATAACGTCCACACAATTTAACATCAAAATACTTACATGATTCTGTCATTCAACCAAGAATATTTAAACAGTCTACACTAGCTATTCATTTTAACAGCACTACTGCTTTCATTTAGAAAACCCCAACTCAGTGGATACTCATGTTATCAAATCACCACTCTGGTTACATCAGTTACACAGTGACTAAAAACATTGCAGTGGAATAGACATGGGTGCCAAACCAGATATTGATATATAAAAACAGTCATGGTATAAAAGCCAAGCTCTCAAATTCTGACTTTTGCTTAACCCTGAAAGCGCGCCAAGCCACGATCGTGGCTTGGCTGTTACATAACTTACAACGCGTAAGTCCACGTGGCGCGCGCTTTAAGGGTTAATTGTTGTTACTGTACACTTTTGGACTTACTTTTGAATGACTATAACTGAGTTGCTTGTTGAATACCTTTCCAACATTATTATTTTGTCGCAGGTTACCATGATTTTTCAATGAAACAACCTTAATAGTATCAATGTTGTATCACATTGTTTGCAGGAAGCTCTCAATGATAACACTAAGCAAACACTGGAGTCGGGATCTGCAGATAAAACTTTCAAGCAAGGAACCTGGAGTTTGTTTAGTGATAATCCTAACTCAAAAAATGATACTTCATTAACAACAGCCCAAGCTGCCAACAAATTTAGTCTGCTCTTTTTTGGTGGCAGGTATGACATGTTCAATACTGTTTTTTTTTATTTCCATAATGTACCAGTCTATAGGGCATATAAAGAAGAGTTCAAATGTTATGTGAGCATGGCATATCAAGTGACTGTGTGGTCAGTACTATGCCTGTATTTCCATAATTGTTTTTGATATGTTAACAAACTAGACATGCAAAATTAGAATCTGCTTGGCTCAGTATGAATATAAAAAAGTGATAAAAATGATAAAAAAATCAAGATGAGATTTAAAATTATACCTCAAAAAATATCTCTAAATATTTCTGTTCTTTGCTGAGCTGAAAACATAATGAAAGTTTTATATAGTTAATCACAAATTTGTCTGGAGTATGGTAGCATATCGATTGTGGCTGTATCATCTTTAGGTTTTTCCCTACAATTGTTTTATAATTTTGTTTTATTTCTACTAGCCTTGAGTTGGATGACTACATCACAAAGCCATCAAGCCTGAAGGCATTTTTAAACTTGTCAATTCCTGTCTTACTACAATGCTGGAAGGAAGCTCGAGCTAGCATTGATGAACATACATCTTCTGGTTTGTTTTTTCCTTTGTAGCTATGTGTGTTGCTAACAGCATAATATTACTATATAATTACTTCTGTATTACATAATAATACTTTTGAAAAGTACTTGTATTTTTATAATTTTGAGTAGAGTTAGTTTTCCTAAATTTTGGACATTTTTCATGTTAATAAGCAATATCAGGTGCTTGTTTTACTTATTTGAATATTATTTTAATCTTTTTGGACTTCAATTATGTGTTGAACTTTTCACACTCTTTCTAATCTGCATATCCCCAGTTGGAAACTGCTGGCATAGGTTATACATAAATAGATGTTCATTAATGATTCAATAGTATTTCACCAGCCCAAGGTAGACTGAATGTGCAACATTTTTTAAAAATAATTTTTCTACAAGTTTTATTTTTTCCCCTCAGATAACTTGGTATCAGCTGATTCCTTAGAAGTTATGTCTCTGGTTATGTGCGTCATACAACACATGTTTGTTTTATGCTTATCTAGTCAAAGGAGAAATGTGAACTCTCCCTCAGAATTTTTCCCAACTGTAAGTTTATATTTTCTTTACAAAATATTGGTAGTGTATAAAATGTATAATAATTCTTTTTTTAAACTTTAGGTTGTAATCATTTTTGCCAGTAAATGTATAGTTAATTAAGTATGTTTTAAAATGAATCAGGTTGATCCAGAGCTGCTAGTAAAAAATTACCTGACAGATTTTGAAAAGCTTTTCATGAACAAATTTCCTTACTCTGTACAAGTTCTTCCTGTTGTTGGTAAAAAGAGAAAAAGAAGCAAAAGCAATCAAACTGTGCAGAGTGACCCAAGTCAAGTTAGTTGTTTTTTTCTTCAACCTAAGACTTATTTCTGTTTTGGTACTCTAATTTATTTCTTGTTTTAGCGATCAAACAAGCTAGTATTTACTTGATAAGGTAGTGAATTTTGACAAAATGATTAATAATTTATATTTATCAACAGTCTTCGCTTTTGGCTTTAAATTTGGCTGTTTGCGACATCATGGCCAGCTTTTGTGCAGACCGAAAGTTAAAGCCTAAAATTGAATGGATGAAAAAAGTTAAAGATTATATTGTAAACTTCTTTAGAAGGTCGCCAGGTGTGGAACAGAGCAAGATCTTAATCCGGATATTAAAAAATGTTTTTTCTAATTCTCATGTTGTTGGTACGTTGCTGAGTTTTTAAATTTAAAAAACAAATTTTCTTTTTAAAATTTTATGTCAAGTTCATTTTATGTTGGTGTAAAGAAAATATATAAAAATGTACTTTGGTTGGATAACCTTCTAATTAAGTTTTAGTAATTAATTTCATGTAGTAATTAGCTAATGTAACAAGTGACCAATGTTAAGGTTTTACACCCAAGGCTCTTTTTAAATAATTGACAAAGCAATACATTTCTTTTTAGCTCACTTTGTTCAAGCTTTAAAATCAGCAATGAAACACTACAAGTCACTGACAACAAAAGTACCCCAGAAGTATTTGTTCTTTAAATTGTTTTCTCATATTGGACAGCATTGGGATGGTTGGGAGACAGAAACTCAAGGACCTCAGTAAGTTTCTTCCTTAAACAAGATTAATATATTCCCTTAAGTTTATTTAAAAAGTTAATAATTTAAAAATTTGTTTTTATGGTAGATAATTGTTTGAATTCTGTTCAAAATCTTAGTCAACTTACATAATGCCATCAGAAATAATATTTTAAAAAAATGGACTAAAAGAAAAAACCAGATAGAAAAAAATTACTCCATTTTAGCAGATAGATTACCATATACACATAGAGAGATTTGTAAACCAAGATTATGGAGAAAATATTTTAAAACTGCCTTTATCTGTAGTACTAGTAGAGTTAATGGAATGAATAAATAGAAAATTTTGTTAGAATGAAAATTTTTTTTTGTTTTAGTAAAATTTTGATTTTCTTGTTTTGAAGAGACTTTTTTAGTATTATAACTTTCTAGTCAAAATAAAAAAAAACATTCTTGGGTGTAGTGTAATATATAACTCATATTTGACTTACATGTTATTTTAGACCAAGGTGTAGATATGAACACAATGCAGATCTGTGCAACCTTGTGAAAGAGTTTTACCAAAGTTTACCTGAACTTCTACTACATGTAAAGCAATTAGAAGACAACAAGGTTTGGCTGATGGAGATATTGACACTACTGAGACATGGAAATGGACTGAAAATCCGAAGGTTATATGGTGATACATTTCATGAGAAACTTTCAGAAATTTTAGGTAAATTTGCATTCTTTTTTTTTAAATCTGCTTTATCTGTCATGTCCGTGACTTTATTATGCAGGTGCTATTTTCTTCAATGGTTATCCTTTCACTGTGCTATGTGTAGTAGAGTACACTGATATGACACACAGAGTGTATTATGTTTATTTCAAGGACCATCTTAGTTACTAATAAAATATTTAAACAGTTTCATTTTGAATAAATGTTTTAATTGTTTCACTTCTCTAGATCCCCAGAGTGGTATAATGTGTACCAATGATGAAGAGATTCAACAACAAATGTGTTTTCTGCTGTCCTTTAGTGCACCCCTAACAAGGGAACTCCTGGTGCAGATGTTGTGTTTAATCAGACGGCCTCAAGAGAAACCTGTGTTACCTCATCGCAAGTCCTGGAGTCTTGTCAGCCATTCTATTTATAACATCATACAAAACATGAAGTAAAGTTATCACACCTAACTTTAAGATTACTTTAAGTTTAAGGTTTATGTTCTGTCTAAGAGTTACAGAAACAATATAAAATCAGTTCAGTATTTAAAAATTATTTAAAACTTATTAAAAGACTATTCCTAGCAAATTGTTATTTATTTTATGTAGGAGTCTGTTTTCATTGATATTGATTTATCTATTTTCATATATCTTAAACGGATGTATTTACAGAAAGAACCTTCCGCTAAGTGACCAAGTTCTGTTCAACAAAATTACACCAGAGCAGCGAGTTGTTCTGTCAGACTATTTGAGGTTTTTGTTCTCTCTGCAAATAGGTGAGTTACCTCTAGACCACTCACTCTGTTACTAATGTAGTTCTGTCTGTCGTACTGTTTGAGGTTTATGTTTTCTTTGCAAATAGGTGAGTTACCTCTAGACCACTCACTCTGTCACTAATGTAGTTCTGTCTGTCGTACTGTTGGAGGTTTATGTTCTCTTTGTATTGCTAATGTTTATATTTGCTGTATAAACAAATAATTATAAACACCTGTCTCAGGATTCTGGAATGATTTAAAATCTAATACTGTTTTTAATAAGGATTCATTGCTGAAGAGCTAAACACAATATGCCCAGAAAGCAAAAAGCCCAGCAGTAAAGTATGGTACAGTGTGGACTACACAGTACAAGGGGATCAGTGGGAGAGACATGCGGACATAGCTAATGTAAAATCTTTGTTTTATAACATTTTATTTTTTTTTGTTCATTTATGTTAGTTTTAAGGTTGCTATAACTCATGCTTGTATTATAGTTTGGCCAATGTATGTCTCTACAGATTGTTGCTAAAGAACTTTCCACATTTTACATTCCTGCTGATACTTCCCATGGGTTTGACACCTTTTCCTTTATAGGAACCTTGGAACAACTTTGGAAAAAAATGCTTGTAAGTTGTCTGTTTTTGTTTTCATCTTTTTATTTTATAAAAATCCAACATTTCTTAAGAAAATGGAATGGTTTTTTAAAATGCCTTTTAAATATTAAAAATATTATTGTTAAAGAAAAGCAGAGAAAGAATCCACATCCTGTCAGCCTGCAGCCTGATTGTCTTTCTCCACCAAGCATCACTGGCTCACTGCGTGCTGAAACCTAGCCTGGAGTTCTACACTCAAGCCTCTGTTGTTGTGGCCTCTGTCTTGTCCAGTCTCTTTTCTCTGGACAAATCTAGTGAGCAAAGCCCCAGGGAAGAAGTGGTTTGGGGCTTGAAATCTGTTGTTACCAAGTGTTTGAATAATGATTCACCTCTGTTGAATTTGGTGCTGACACATCTGACTGAGAGGTCACAAGGTTAGTTAGACCTGGAGTTTTTTATGGTCGTTGTTTTTACTTTTACTTTAACCTTTGGTCATCTATTTGTTTTGTTTTGTTATTTAACATGTGTTATTTAAGTTATTTTATTGTGTTATTTTCAATTTTCTAAGATTGCTACAAGAGCATGTTGTATTATGCCTTTCTATGTTGGATTTTTTCAACAAGCATTTTTTAAATTGTTACACACCAGTTTTTTGTTAACTCATAACTGACAAAAAGCACCTCTTGACTGCAAACATTAATCTTTGTGTAGACTGGGACAAATTCCAGGGCTAATCTTGTATTCTTTTGTTAACACTTTAACACACTGCTCACATGATGTGTTACCAGCTGTACTGTATAGTTACATCCTTTATTGTGTAAAAAAAAATGTAGTATTTTTTGCAAAATTTGTTACTACTATTTTAGTAAACATTTGTTTCATATTTCAGGTTCTCATAGTGCAAAAGATTGGGAGAAGAAAGCTGCACAAACAGCCTATGATTTTTTGCTTTCTGATGAAGCCATTCATGAAAGGGTTAAAAGTAAAAATGATGGTGAAAATGAGATGGATACAAGCTAGCTGCACAAATCAGAGACTTCTAGTTATGAATGAAGTCTGTTCAAGTCTTGTTACATGAATGTAAATCAATGGTTGTACAGTTGAAACATAATAAACATATTGGCTCTATTACTTCTTGTCCTTGTTTATCATTTCAACTGTTACACATACTGTGTTGTTTTTAAAGAAATACACAGATGTGTTACATTATGTTGTTAGTTTACACTTTATGTTGGAGATTAAAATCTGGTTTAGGATTAGTAGTCTCCATAAGCCCTAGTTTTTGTTGTGCTTAGTCTGGTCTCACTAGTTGGTTGTGCTTAGTCTGGTCTCACTAGTTGGTTGTGCATAGTCTGGTCTCACTACATGGTTGTACTTAGTCTAGTCTCACTAGTTGGTTGTGCTTAGTCTGGTCTCACTAGTTGGTTGTGCTTAGTCTGGTCTCACTAGTTGGTTGTGCTTAGTCTGGTCTCACTAGTTTTGTTGTACTTAGTCTGGTCTCACTAGTTGGTTGTACTTAGTCCGGTCTCACTAGTTTGTTGTGCTTAGTCTGGTCTCACTAGTTGGTTGTACATATTCTGGTCTCACTAGTTGGTTGTGCTTAGTCTGGTCTCACTAGTTGGTTGTGCTTAGTCTGGTCTCACTAGTTGGTTGTTGTGCTAATTCTGGTCTCACTAGTTGGTTGTGCTTAGTCTGGTCTCACTAGTTGGTTGTGCTTAGTCTGGTCTCACTAGTTGGTTGTGCTTAGTCTGGTCTCACTAGTTGGTTGTGCATAGTCTGGTCTCACTAGTTGGTTGCACATAGTCTGGTCTCACTAGTTGGTTGTGCTTAGTCTGGTCTCACTAGTTTTGTTGTACTTAGTCTGGTCTCATTAGTTGGTTGTACTTAATCTGGTCTCACTAGTTGGTTGTGCTTAGTCTGGTCTCACTAGTTGGTTGTGCTTAGTCTGGTCTCACTAGTTGGTTGTACATATTCAGGTTTCACTAGTTTTGTTGTACTTAGTCTGGTCTCACTAGTTGGTTGTTGTGCTAATTCGCTGTGCTAATTCTGGTCTCACTAGTTGGTTGTGCTTAGTCTGGTCTCACTAGTTGGTTGTGCTTAGTCTGGTCTCACTAGTTGGTTGTGCTTAGTCTGGTCTCACTAGTTGGTTGTGCTTAGTCTGGTCTCACTAGTTGGTTGTGCTTAGTCTGGTCTCACTACATGGTTGTACTTAGTCTAGTCTCACTAGTTTGTTGTTCTTAGTCTGGTCTCACTAGTTGGTTGTGCATAGTCTGGTCTCACTAGTTGGTTGTGCTTAGTCTGGTCTCACTAGTTGGTTGTGCTTAGTCTGGTCTCACTAGTTGGTTGTGCTTAGTCTGGTCTCACTAGTTGGTTGTTCTTAGTCTGGTCTCACTAGTTGGTTGTTCTTAGTCTGGTCTCACTAGTTGGTTGTGCATAGTCTGGTCTCACTAGTTTTGTTGTACTTAGTCTGGTCTCACTAGTTGGTTGTTGTGCTAATTCACTGTGCTAATTCTGGTCTCACTAGTTGGTTGTGCTTAGTCTGGTCTCACTAGTTGGTTGTGCTTAGTCTGGTCTCACTAGTTGGTTGTGCTTAGTCTGGTCTCATTAGTTGGTTGTGCTTAGTCTGGTCTCACTAGTTGGTTGTGCTTAGTCTGGTCTCACTAGTTTTGTTGTACTTAGTCTGGTCTCACTAGTTGGTTGTACTTAGTCTGGTCTCACTGGTTGTGCTTAGTCTGGTCTCACTAGTTGGTTGTGCTTAGTCTGGTCTCACTAGTTGGTTGTGCTTAGTCTGGTCTCACTAGTTGGTTGTGCTTAGTCTGATCTCACTAGTTGGTTGTGCTTAGTCTGGTCTCACTAGTTGGTTGTGCTTAGTCTGGTCTCACTAGTTGGTTGTGCTTAGTCTGGTCTCACTACATGGTTGTACTTAGTCTAGTCTCACTAGTTTGTTGTTCTTAGTCTGGTCTCACTAGTTGGTTGTGCTTAGTCTGGCCTCACTAGTTGGTTGTGCTTAGTCTGGTCTCACTAGTTGGTTGTGCTTAGTCTGGTCTCACTAGTTGGTTGTGCTTAGTCTGGTCTCACTACATGGTTGTACTTAGTCTAGTCTCACTAGTTGGTTGTGCTTAGTCTGGTCTCACTAGTTGGCTGTGCTTAGTCTGGTCTCACTAGTTGGTTGTACTTAGTCTGGTCTCACTAGTTGGTTGTACATAGTCTGGTCTCACTAGTTGGTTGTTCTTAGTCTGGTCTCACTAGTTGGTTGTGCTTAGTCTGGTCTCACTAGTTGGTTGTACTTAGTCTGGTCTCACTAGTTGGTTGTGCTTAGTCTGGTCTCACTACATGGTTGTACTTAGTCTAGTCTCACTAGTTGGTTGTTGTGCTAATTCGCTGTGCTAATTCTGGTCTCACTAGTTGGTTGTGCTTAGTCTGGTCTCACTAGTTGGTTGTGCTTAGTCTGGTCTCACTAGTTGGTTGTGCTTAGTCTGGTCTCACTAGTTGGTTGTGCTTAGTCTGGTCTCACTAGTTGGTTGTGCTTAGTCTGGTCTCACTACATGGTTGTACTTAGTCTAGTCTCACTAGTTTGTTGTTCTTAGTCTGGTCTCACTAGTTGGTTGTGCATAGTCTGGTCTCACTAGTTGGTTGTGCTTAGTCTGGTCTCACTAGTTGGTTGTGCTTAGTCTGGTCTCACTAGTTGGTTGTGCATAGTCTGGTCTCACTAGTTGGTTGTTCTTAGTCTGGTCTCACTAGTTGGTTGTGCTTAGTCTGGTCTCACTACATGGTTGTACTTAGTCTAGTCTCACTAGTTGGTTGTGCTTAGTCTGGTCTCACTAGTTGGTTGTACTTAGTCTGGTCTCACTAGTTGGTTGTACATAGTCTGGTCTCACTAGTTGGTTGTGCTTAGTCTGGTCTCACTAGTTTGTTGTTCTTAGTCAGGACCTACAGACCTTTAGTTAGTTTTGTTTGTGCAGACATTAATATCAGGTATTGTTTTTCTTTTTTGGGTTATTCATCTTCCTGCCGTTATTTGAGTCACTCTACCACAGAAAATATTTGTAAAATATAATATTATGAGCCATACGATTCAATATTTGATTTTGTTGTTACAGCGGCTATCATTAATTAATCAGTTGCTAATCTGCTGCTTTCTGTCTAACGTAAGCCGCAGCAGTACAAAACATAAGACAAAAAAAAATACCAGTCCGCGACAAGCTGTTAGCCAGCCCGGCACATATCAGATGACAACCGCTGTCTTCAGTTGACATGAATGCCCGATCGCTATGACGTCTGCACCTACCTTCTATGCCAGGGAACAAAAAACAGAACAGACCAAACTTATTCTAGACTTGCAAAAAGGCTGTCATTTAAAAAGAATTCTTCGTTCAATCATTATTTTAGCCACAACAAAAGCCACCCTACAATTAATCCTCGCACAGCCGCGCCAAATGATTGGAGTGGGGCGGGCTTTTTGCAACCCGGCTGTGGTTCAATGACTTTCGTGCGTAATTCAAAGCAATGGGTCATCGCAGGTTGAATAGGTATGTCAATAAAATCAATCAGTCCTCCAATATAGGTTAAATCGTTTTGAGTTTTTAAATTTTTTTTTCATTGTCTTAACATAAAACTAATTGATTTCTTTACGGTTGTTTTAAAACGTTAAGGCCTATAGCTAAACAACGATAGGTCTACATTACATTTCACTAAGATCAAAACATTTAATTTAAAAATCATGAAGCAATCAATTTAGTGAATAAAAAAATTATTAACACACACATTTAAATCCAACATTAACTAATGTTTTTTCTCATTTCCGCCAAACATTAAAGGAGCGGGGGGGGGGGGGGGGTACGGTTTATAGGACTACATGTGAGATGGGTGATGAACTGACTAATGACAGCTTATTACGGGAGGATATGGTCGAACCCACTGATAGATCAGGTTTGCTAACAAGACTGACACCAGTGTTTCTTCCAGACTTTTTTCTCCGGGGGGGGGGGGGGGGGGGGGCGCGGTCAACATTTCCGGGGGGACATTAGACTTTCTTCTGGGGGGAGGGGGGGCAGAGCCCTCGCCCCCGAAGAGATGCCTGGAAGAAATTCTGATGCCGTCCCTACCCTACCAGAGATGGCTACACTACCCTACCAGAGATGCCGCCCCTACCCTACCAGAGATGCCGCCACTACCCTACCAGAGGGGCCGCCCATACTTCAGCAGACGTGCTGTAAATTATAGTTAAATAATGTAGTTTTAAGCAGTCACATTAAATTCAAGTTGGTTATACAAAATTACAATTCTAGCTATTTTAAATTACTAATTAAAGCCATTCGTCTTGTTCAAAAGAAGAAAATTATTTAAACAAAATCATTTACAGCAGAGTGCATCTATCTTAAATGAGACGCAACTATCTAGAAAATCCCACGGGAGAGCGACCATTGTCAAGCTCCCCAAGTAATTAAATAATCGTGTACGCCTGAGTCATCCCAGTGTCTGAGCAACAGTGATCTAATATTATTACTATCAATACTACAAATGCACCCCTTCTTAATCTTAAAATCCACCAGTTAAGCCCGGTGGTAGCTGGATATATGAAACAATATCAACCATCAGTATGTTACGCTGTTATTCAACTGCGTTTCTTCCGCCTAATTACGATCTACAGATAACACCAGTCAGACCAATTTTGTATCGATCTTTTAGAATCGATGAAGACCACACGGGGTGACTACGTCAGATAGGACAATAGGCAACCGATTGTATTATTTAAAAAAAATTGTTATAGATTATATCTTGTAATCGAAAGATTATGCCTTTTAATTCTGCTAAAAAAATAACAAATAGTATCCGTGATTTCCATAAAATAGGCTAGTCACGCACTAACTGGATGAGGGGCGGGTGAAGAGTTCAATAACTTATTTCTTAAATTTCTGAACCCTAATAGACATTTCCACCAGCAGGACTCGATAATAGACGAACCAAATGTTTTGTTAAACTAAGGCCCTTCTGCACCCAGGCAGCCACTAAAGTGTGCGCATGACCGTTCTGAACTCTTTTTTTTGTCTGTCATTAAACAATTTTGAGCGCTTGGCTAACACTTAGGGCGGGCGGTAGTTCTATAGCTTCAGCTGTCCAAGTATAACTCT